TTGTTCGGAATTTAAAGGGCTACAACATACTAAATTTTTATCAAAATCGTTCAGGCCATTTTTGAGAAAATCCGATTTTTCCGGTTTTTTTATGGATTTTTATGGGGAAATCCCCATTAAAAATCAAAATTTCAAAAAAATGAAAAAAATGCCTGGAGATACTATGGATTAGAACCTCCATACCAAATTTCATCGAAATCGGACCACAGGTGTAGTCCCTAGCTCTGTACACATCCAGACACACACACACACACACACACACACAGACATCACTTCGAAAACCACTTTCCACTTCGAAAACGGTAATATCCACTCAAAACTCAAACTCGAAAATTTTGACGAAAACAATACTTTCTCCATATACTATGGTATAGGGAGAGAAAGTAATATATGATTTTTCTTCTATAGAATTACGCAAACATAGCTATAGAAAGTATACTAACTTGCAGTGATGAGCTCACAACGCTGCATAATGTAGACTATAAAAGTATCGAATACGTCTGTTACGCCGCGCAAACTGACGATGATACTATGTAATTGATTAGGGTGATATTTTGGTGTTTGTTAATTTGAAATCACTGTAAGTATATTTCATGACTAATAATTAATTGTATGGAGAAAAATAAATTTTTAAGTTGGATATATCAATAACTGAGGCAATCGTTGGGAAAATCCTAGTATTGACGGTTGTTCAGACAGTTATTCGTGAAATAACATAAGGTAAGGTTGTTTAAACCTTAGCTACGATTTACTCAAAATAAATAAACAATTAAGTAATAATTCAATAATATTATTGCTAAGTAAAAAAAGTCTTATAAAGTATTAACTGTGATAATATTTAAATTAATTTAATGTATTACAGTACTTACTTACATTTAACCCAGGGTACCCTAATTTATAACCTTGGTCCTCCTACTATTTTTCGTCAATTTAAGTATTGCAAAAATGCATGCACAATATAAATATTAATTAATCAAGACAAATCCAAAAGCACTGAGGCATTCGACACACATTCAAGCACGAACTGAACTGAAATAACAGCTGCAGTAATGTAGAACATTAAACATAAGTATTATTGGTTTTAGAAGGGTACGCTGCACGTGAAGATATTGTATTATTAAAATGAGATAGGATAATCATGAATGTTGCGTGCATGTACCCGCGCCTTGTGTATTGGAGGGTTTATACGGGCTGTCACATCCGGTACCACACGCCACGCGCTATCCCATCTTGTCTTCTCTCCTCAGTGACCTACTCTAAACATTCCCTCTGGATTGGGTTTTTTATACGGGATGTCACATCCAATACCACACTCCACGCACTATTCCATCTTGTCTTCTCTCGGTGACCTGCTTTAAACATCCCCTCTGGATTGAGGTGTGTATACCGGGTGTCACATCCGGTACAACGCACTATCCCATCTTGTCTTCTCTCGGTGACCTACTCTAAACATTCCCTCTGGATTGAGGTGTGTATACCGGGTGTCACATCCGGTACAACGCACTATCCCATCTTGTCTTCTCTCGGTGACCTGCTTTAAACATTCCCTCTGGATTGAGGTGTGTATACCGGGTGTCACATCCGGTACAACGCACTATTCCATCTTGTCTTCTCTCGGTGACCTGCTCTAAACATTCCCTCTGGATTGAGGTGTGTATACCGGGTGTCACATCCGGTACAACGCACTATCCCATCTTGTCTTCTCTCGGTGACCTGCTTTAAACATTCCCTCTGGATTGAGGTGTGTATACCGGGTGTCACATCCGGTACAACGCACTATTCCATCTTGTCTTTTCTCGGTGACCTGCTTTAAACATTCCCTCTGGATTGAGGTGTGTATACCGGGTGTCACATCCGGTACAACGCACTATCCCATCTTGTCTTCTATCGGTGACCTACTCTAAACATTCCCTCTGGATTGAGGTGTGTATACCGGGTGTCACATCCGGTACAACGCACTATCGCATCTTGTCTTCTCTCGGTGACCTGCTCTAAACATTCCCTCTGGATTGAGGTGTGTATACCGGGTGTCACATCCGGTGCAACGCACTATCCCATCTTGTCTTCTCTCGGTGACCTGCTTTAAACATTCCCTCTGGATTGAGGTGTGTATACCGGGTGTCACATCCGGTGCAACGCACTATCCCATCTTGTCTTCTCTCGGTGACCTGCTTTAAACATTCCCTCTGGATTGAGGTGTGTATACCGGGTGTCACATCCGGTACAACGCACTATCCCATCTTGTCTTCTCTCGGTGACCTGCTTTAAACATTCCCTCTGGATTGAGGTGTGTATACCGGGTGTCACATCCGGTGCAACGCACTATCCCATCTTGTCTTCTCTCGGTGACCTGCTTTAAACATTCCCTCTGGATTGAGGTGTGTATACCGGGTGTCACATCCGGTACAACGCACTATCCCATCTTGTCTTCTATCGGTGACCTACTCTAAACATTCCCTCTGGATTGAGGTGTGTATACCGGGTGTCACATCCGGTGCAACGCACTATCCCATCTTGTCTTCTCTCGGTGACCTGCTTTAAACATTCCCTCTGGATTGAGGTGTGTATACCAGGTGTCACATCCGGTGCAACGCACTATCCCATCTTGTCTTCTCTCGGTGACCTGCTTTAAACATTCCCTCTGGATTGAGGTGTGTATACCGGGTGTCACATCCGGTACAACGCACTATCCCATCTTGTCTTCTATCGGTGACCTACTCTAAACATTCCCTCTGGATTGAGGTGTGTATACCGGGTGTCACATCCGGTGCAACGCACTATCCCTTCTTGTCTTCTCTCGGTGACCTGCTCTAAACATTCCCTCTAGATTGAGGTGTGTATACCGGGTGTCACATCCGGTGCAACGCACTATCCCATCTTGTCTTCTCTCGGTGACCTGCTCTAAACATCCCCTCTGGATTGAGGTGTGTATACCGGGTGTCACATCCGGTACAACGCACTATCCCATCTTGTCTTCTCTCGGTGACCTGCTCTAAACATTCCCTCTGGATTGAGGTGTGTATACCGGGTGTCACATCCGGTACAACGCACTATCCCATCTTGTCTTCTCTCGGTGACCTGCTCTAAACATTCCCTCTGGATTGAGGTGTGTATACCGGGTGTCACATCCGGTACAACGCACTATCCCATCTTGTCTTCTCTCGGTGACCTGCTCTAAACATTCCCTCTGGATTGAGGTGTGTATACCGGGTGTCACATCCGGTGCAACGCACTATCCCATCTTGTCTTCTCTCGGTGACCTGCTCTAAACATTCCCTCTGGATTGAGGTGTGTATACCGGGTGTCACATCCGGTGCAACGCACTATCCCATCTTGTCTTCTCTCGGTGACTTGCTTTAAACATTCCCTCTGGATTGAGGTGTGTATACCGGGTGTCACATCCGGTGCAACGCACTATCCCATCTTGTCTTCTCTCGGTGACCTGCTTTAAACATTCCCTCTGGATTGAGGTGTGTATACCGGGTGTCACATCTGGTACAACGCACTATCCCATCTTGTCTTCTCTCGGTGACCAGCTCTAAACATTCCCTCTGGATTGAGGTGTGTATACCGGGTGTCACATCCGATACAACGCACTATCCCATCTTGTCTTCTCTCGGTGACCTGCTCTAAACATTCCCTCTGGATTGAGGTGTGTATACCGGGTGTCACATCCGGTGCAACGCACTATCCCATCTTGTCTTCTCTCGGTGACCTGCTCTAAACATCCCCTCTGGATTGAGGTGTGTATACCGGGTGTCACATCCGGTACAACGCACTATCCCATCTTGTCTTCTCTCGGTGACCTGCTCTAAACATTCCCTCTGGATTGAGGTGTGTATACCGGGTGTCACATCCGGTACAACGCACTATCCCATCTTGTCTTCTCTCGGTGACCTGCTCTAAACATTCCCTCTGGATTGGGTTGTTTATCTTAAATAACATCCAGTCCCACAGAGCAATTGGCGCAATTCCATGTCTTCTCTCGAACGTTCTTCTCGATGTTGCTATTCTTTGAAACCCTCATTTATCTCTTCTTTTATCCTTTTATTATTTTGTCCATATAGCCCTCAAAGGCCTGTTTATGTACTCTGTTTAGCAGAGCCGGCCCTAGGCCATTGCGAGCGAAATCTGTGGCCCTGCGCTTGGTTTAATCTACAAAGAAAACAAATTTTTTTGAATTATACGCATTTAGGTCGATAGTGAAAAAAGAAAAGGGGGAGTATAAATACTAGTATTATACAATGAGATTTTGTCAGGTAGTATTGTGTTGGAATAGTGCAGGGCCCTGCACCACCATAGGTCTGATCTGGTTTTCAGCAAAGCGAGGCGTGGTGTGAACTCGAAAATTGCTGGGTAGCTGATGTGGTTAATGTGCTCACCTAACAATCAAAAAGGTTGCTTGATCGATCCTGAGAAATCTAGTTAGCTTTTTGATGGTTCGAAACTGAATCCAGCTTACCTTCATCATTGGACTTGGATCCTGACCTTGTCATTGACACAGAGATCATCTCACTTACGAATATTATAACAGAGAACTTACCATACAAATATATATACGAATAAATATTAATATTTACATTGCGATACTACTGATTTATATATTTTCGATTTTCAAATGTAAAAACTTTTTAACTACTTTTGTTATCACGTATTAATCGTGTTGTGTTTGTTCTAGTAATCGTAATCCTAAATTTTACCCCCATCGTTCACTCATATATTTTAAGTTAAAATACGTCCTAGATGGTGTCTCCATATCAATTGACGATAATGATGATGATCTCGTTACAAGATATTATACCCCCCCGCTATTCCTAAACATCGCCGTCCTGGTTGCACAGCCCGTCACCCTAACGAAGAGCCACACTCTCACCTTACCCCGCACAATTTCTGCTTGAAGTTCGAAACTAGAGTAATATTAATTTTAGTAAACAGCACAAGAACTACTATACACGTCACTGTAATCTTCTAATAATGCCTAGTATTTGTTAAAAACTCACCGCCGTCCTCTTGCGCACCCTGGCAGGGACTCTGGACGAGGCTCGCTGCTCCATGGTTGTAGCGTTTCCATTCACTGCTGTAGTCCACGTAGGCCTACTACACACTGCTGTGCTCTACTTGCTATAGGCGTTATAGACTCTGATGTGCGGCTAGTGGAGATGGATGCGTGCCATGCATTACACACGCATTATAACAATTAGGGCATCGACGAAGTTGCACTCACCAACCTTGTTGTTTAACTTGTAGCTTGCAAAACAAGTTACTTCCCCCAAACTCGAACTTTTAGAATTAACTAATATGCAACACATAGGGACCAACCACAAATCATTATGCGTTGGATGAAATTTTGAATTTTTAAATATTCGACATTGGAATAGACTAACTTTTGTGTGTAAAGGAAGCTATTAAAAGCTGTGACTAATGCGATCTTCTATAGTTAAAATGTAGATGAACCAGAATATTTAAAACAATACTCCGATGCCAAAGTAATGTCAGAATCGGCATTCGCTAGTTTACAGTGTTAAGGATACTAACCTCTGCATACTGACGCAGACTAGGATGAAAGTAGGCATCATGCAATGAGGGAGGAGTCTTCGGGGGTTCCTGCAACATTAAATAACAATATCTCATAATTATATTTGATAAGTTATAAAATACAAAATACACTATTAACTGCAGTAAAACTGCTGTTGCAGTGTGTTTTAATTCAAAATCACACAGTAAAAGTTAAGTAACAAATGAGTTTTCAGACGATATCACCTTAACAGTACCGGTGGGCCGAGCCGGTGGGCTTGGTATGTTTATTTTGATTGTAAAAACAATATAATGGAAACTCGCGTTAACTAATTTCGGCTCTCATTATTTAAGTTTCAGTGGAATTTCAATTCATTATGATGGGAGGTTTAAATTGGTAATCCAACACATTAATTTAATTTAGTCATACACATTTATTGCGTTTTATATAGGTAAATAAAACAATTGTAAAAAATCAGAAATTGTTTTTATATTAGTTTCTATAATAGTAGGAATTAATGTACAATCCCAGGTTAATACAGTAGCAATCATCAGCTGCAATAGCATTAATACAGCATAGAACAGCGTTTCTTTAAGTATAATAAAACCCTTTAGCATGAACATGCTCTCTAAAATACTATCATATGGTGGATTAGCTGAAGACAGATAAGTCGTATTCAAGCGTATATTGCTTACTATAAAGATTATTGTAATACAATTAACTTTATACTAATTCAACTGAATACAGCTGTCCGAAAAATGTAAACAATAAAAGAGTTAATAAAAATTGTAAAATCTACCCTTAAATAAAAGTGAAAGATTAAGTTGACGCCAGTACACTCGAACGTCACCAATATGAATTACTCACTCTATTTTCCCCAATGTCGAGTAATCTTCAGTGTAATCTTTGCTCAATAGTTCCAACTGATGTTTTCCCTTTGTACAGTATTTTGTAATTTGCTAGTATACTGTGGATGACTTGTTAAAAACACATGTTACAAGTATTTTGTTTACTTTCTGCTTGTTATTTTGTTCAACCAACATAGTTACTTAGCAACCAATGTTAAATTTTTAACGCTGTGGCTACGGTTACGGGTACCCGTAATACCAATAGACAGTACGAGCAGTCCATGACGTCACTGATTGATATTCTTCTTGCCAAGGCCAAGGCTGGGCAGTGTATTTTCCTGCCACCATGAAGCTGTACGAATACGAATAGATTGTTTACTTCAATTACGTGTATGTAATAAAATCAACTTTGAAAATACATCATTGAAAATCAACTTCCAATCTTGGAGTTTTGAGCGTTTCTTTTGATTTATTAAATGTTTTAACTATCTTACCAAGAGTAGAACTGTTGATAGCAACTGTGTTTCTTAGAGTAATTTACTGGTGTTGTTATTAAAGAATACTATTGATTTCTCAGTTAGGCTATTAATTTTATAGATATGGTCACACTTCTCAAATTTCTTTCCAGACCATTATATAGAGCTTAAAAAAATAAATAATTTTGTATATTGAAGAGTTAATGTATGCCTAACGGTTGCGGAGATAGTTAAAAAAACCTAAGTACACACTAAAATTAAGGTTATTTAAAAAGGGAAAAATCTGACAATTCTTTGGGAATATTTTAGTAGAGAAATCAAACCGGGTAAATGAAAACTCGCTTAGTCTGCAGGTTTGCTGGGGCGGGGGTATTTTTTGGTAAGAAATAAATGCATTTCCCAAATTTGATCAAAATATATGTTCATAAACAAACAAACTACAACAGTTTACTTATTGTTCATAAGAATAACATGGAAATTTTAAATTTTTTGGAATTTTCTCCAAAACCATTAGGCGCATAGTAAACGCTTCAATATACCAAATTATTTGTTTTTTAAGCTCTAAAAACCGGTTTTAAAAAAGGAATTGCAAAATTGTGTTTTTTAGAGTTAAAAATGGGAAAACCTCATTTTTACCCCGCAAATTAACCCTCAATAAACCCCTGTTCCCATAGTTCAATCATGCTTGTTCGCGAATTCGGTCAAAGTAGGTTTACATGTTTATACTGAATTTAATCAAAATTTGATCATTGACATTGACACACACATATATATATATGTGTATATATATATATCTGTATTTGACTTGGTTAAAAAGCATGGTGGAAGGAAAATCCTTCCACCATGGTTAAAAAGTATATGCATAGGCCTATATCATAGTAGAAATTCGTAGGTAAGTTAATAAATCAACAATATCCAATTACAGTTAGAACCCCGGTTAACCGAAAAAAAGAGGAAAGAGCTGTTTAGATAACAAATATTTCGGTTAACTCGTCATATGTTAAAAATAGCCTATTTGACTCTTGGATACTGAAGGTAGTATTATACATTATACTTTAGCCCTGTATTATTTTATGGAACCTTCTCGATTAACCAGGGGTTTCGGTTAAACTGGGTTCTACTGTACGCTTTGTGTCAGTTGAAATTTATTCTTAAAAGTTTGCATTAATAATAGCATGAATTACCAATATTTATAAATATTGGTAGCATAAAAACAATTAATCTACTAAGTATTGAACTAATAGTTTGAATGAACTTCGTTCTAAGTTTTAGGCCATATGAGATGCTAAAAGTAAATAATTGTTTTCTCACCAAAAGGGCTGTGAAAGAAATGGTCTTTATTTCTAAAGGAAAATTCAATAATCTCATAACTGTGCCTAGCCTAACCAGTCTCTGTTGTAAAGAGAAAGTTCAAGGCCTACAATTAAAAGTCATTACCTAGGTACTTTTCGCATCATACGGAGTACACGACAGGACGCTGCAGCGGTTAGGTTAAATTGGGTTATTGTAAATATGTTTGTAGGACTTTCCTTTTTTTCGTAATAATCGACCGATGACTTACCAGATGAGTCATAAACAATTTATGATAACCTATCTAACCTAACCGCCACAGCTTGCTGTATAAGGGTGGCCTTCAAAAAATACGAAAGTACCAGTCTTTACTCGCTATAACTTACTTCCAATTCAATACACAACTTTATCACTTCAAAACATTATCTAACTTTGTTAAAAAACGATTAGCTAAGTTAATTGAGTTTTACTTTAACTTGGCTAAAATAATCACTAGTTAGTAGTTGGTTTGGACATTTACTTATCTGTAGGCTAAGATTAACTCTGTTCTTGTGTCTACCACAGTTTTTAAACGGTGTAGCCTATCCATTGATATGAATAAATAAAAACAGCTTAAGTTGCATCATGTATTTTATTTAACAAATAAGTTATTAATTACCACCACACTCAAGTTTAAGCTGAGGCTTGCTTTTATTAGGACTTAAGACTTATTTTATTACATTCTATATTGTAAAAGACTACCTATCTGCATTAGGCTAACCTATCCTATAACTTTTGAGTTAATTTAATTATTTAATTTAGTGCAAGACCAACATAAAATACGTTTTAATTAAGATGGTAAGTTACATCATTAGTTATGTAAATAGCTTAACTTAGGACCCCCCAAGATATATTTTACGGTTACTTACGGTAAACCGTTTTAAATACAGAAAATAAATTAGTTTTGTAAAGACCAAGTTGGTAAAGCCTAACTTATTCCAGTAGCCTTAAGTTTATAAATCTTAATAAACTTAGGCATAAACTAATTTCTACTAGACTAGGGAACACGTTTTTAATTTCATAGCGTAGTACAAACTGCGAATAATGGAGTTTAATGAATAAAACTAAAATAATGATCGAACGTTAATCAAATAAAATACTGCAATCACTTCACACCACACATCACTGACATAACCTCAATATCTGGCTCTGGCTGTCTGCTTGCTCCTCGTAGCGTTTAGCCGTTTACCGTTCGAAGTCTACGTCTATCAATGACGTCATCGACTGCCCGTACTGTCTATTGGTATTACGGGTAGCCGTAACCGTAGCCACAGCGAATTTTTAAATGAGTTGTGTAGCGAAATACGAACTTTCCTGAGGTGGTGGCTGTCACCAATCACGTTTTTATGGCTATAAGTCCCTAATTCTAAAATGTAGTAAAAATTCTTCCCCTGGATTTCGAGATATACAGTATATTACAGACAGACAAACAGACTTAGCTCGTCTACAATGTTACATATAGGATAGGATAATAATGACGCATTCTCAAGCTTCTATTTAGTATAAGCCTTATATAATGTTACTATTGTGAACTGTTAGTAATTATTTGCTGTAAAAAACAAATAAAACTATACAGGGTGGTAAAAAAGTCCCTGGACAGTTAAATATTTTAAAAAATAATGCAGATAGAGCTACAATACTTGGTATAAAGTTACAGGGCATAAAACTCTTTTTTAACACATATTCAGTGATCCAATAACTCTTCAGGGGGACGGCCCACAAGGAGTCGGAAGAAAATCTTAAATGGAAGCATAGGTCAATATGCACATCAAATTAAAGGTCTTCACTAGTAGATTACGATGCCATAAATTCAAGCTCAAAAGAATGCCTGAGTAAAAAATGGCAGTCGTTCAAAGATTCAAAATGGCGGATTCAAGAAATCTTTGAACATCTGC